ATGAGAAATGAAAAGTCTTATCCTGCTAAAGTCATTATGCTGTGGGGACTAATTGCTATGTCAGCTTCACATGTAAGTAGATAACATCTACTTTTTACATCGAAGTAGGTAACATATGTCCCTGGGGTGCTGGATGGCAGGGTTCTGATGAGGTCATCAGCATTTGGTTTGCTTCTCTTGGTTCTGCATCTTCTGTGGGGCTTCCAATCCTGAGAAGCCCTTGGTCTACAGATAATGAGCTGAACAAGTGCTTCTACCTCTACTTCATGCCGACCACAGAGAGTGTATTTATCATTCTTATAAACCTTCCAAAAGAGCTCTTCAAATGAGTCTACCTTGTCATCTTCTTTGGCGGAGAGATTTAAACTTACAAACATTATTTTTCCATAGAGTAGCAATTGTATGGCTTGAATTTCCCACCAAAGCTCATGTTAAAACATAACTTCCAGTTTAATAGTGTTAAGAAGGTGGAAACCTACCCCAACTATGATATGAAGAGCTGGGACGGTTACTGAGATCTGATGGGCTGGAGGACAGGACAGGGATCCTGGCATGGTGGATCCCATGGTCTATCTTTCTCTCTCTCATATACATGCTCTTTCATGAATAACGAACCTGAACTGGGCCCTTGGAAGGTAATTGATAGTGGATGAACTTATCGCGTGTGGCCTCCATGATGGACGACTGGTGGCTTTAGAGGGAAAGGGAGAGGGATGGAGACCAGCTGACACCTGCTCTTGACCTCTCACCACATGATGCCCTGGGCTGCCTGGGGATTCCACAGTGTCCCCACTACCAAGAAGCCTCTCACAGATGCTGCCCTGGACCTGGGGATTTCAGAACTGTGAGTAGAATACAGTTTCATTTTGTATAAATTACCCAGACTGCGGTGTTCAGTTACAGCAACAGAAAATGGATTAAAACAAACAACCTAAAGTGAGAGCACAGCTTATGCTATAGCAAAGAGCGCTGACAGATTTGCTTTTTGACCGTCTTAGCACCAGTTCTCCCCTGACACATTCTTGGGTGGTTCTTTTCTGTAATGGTGCCCATCAGGCCAAAGTAATGAAAAGCTGATATTCCCAGGGAGAAAGAGAAAAGCCACAGAATCTTAGAGCTGGAAGGCCTTAGGATGTCATCAGGTAGCCCCAGATAAACACATCTGCTCCTCAACAGCTCTGACCGACGGTCACCCAGACCCGGTGTAGTCACCTCCAGGGACAAGATTGTCTAATTTCTACCTTCTTTGCTTGTATAGATTGTGCAAATGATGAGAAAGATGTTTCTTCAAAACCATCTATCGGGTCATCAGAAAGTCATGATGCATTTTTGCATAGAAAAGCAGAAACCTAAGCGGTGACTTTTCTGATGACCCGATAGTAACCTCCCTCCCCTATGACACTGTTCTTTTGAAGAGGGGATGGAACAGCCTCCCTGAGCGCTGTTCGGAGTGGCACTGGACACCCACATACCTCTCTTCAGGCCTGGCTGACAGTGGCCAGCCCTGGGACCTGGGGCAAGTCCTGAGGACCTAACACTTCGCAGCTCTGGCTTTGTTTTGTTTTGTTTTGTTCTATGGGCACCTGTAGTTGCCCTGTGGGGCATGGTCACCCAGCAATCGATCCCTTTTTCTCCATTTCACTCTCAGGATTTTAGGCACCCACACATATGTGACCCAAGTGGTTTTCAAGCCATAGGGTCTGGACTCCAAGGGTGAGGTCAGCCACATGGGATTCAGTCCCCTCACCACTAGGCCACCGGTTGGCCCCTGAGCGCCAGTGTTTGCAAAGTGGGAATGCCAGTACCTAATTCATTATTCCCTTAAGATTATTGCCATGCCCAGCAGTGTGGTGGTGTTCAATAAATACTTATTGGCTATCCACTCCAGCATACTTCAGGAAGATAATAGAGCCTGAGTCTCTTTGAATTTTATTTTAATAAAAAATCTGTCTCCTTTGAATTTGATTTTGTAGGCAATATCTATAATGATTATTAAGAGGGAGCTTTATTGCCAGGCTAAGGAGGTTTAAACATGGGCCTGGCACTTACAGAAGGGGCTACTCACAAAGCCCGGGGGAGTTTTAGTGAGTTGTTCCATGCAAAGGGCTTAGACCAGTGCCTGGCACCGGGCAACCATCTTGATAACCACCGAAGATTTATTGAGCACCTACTCTGGGCCAGGCTTGGGGCACAGAGTGATGAGGCCACATCTTAGCCCCTGGGAAACTTAGATTCCGGTGGGAGGGATGGGCTCAGAGGAGCTAAGCATAGGATACCGTGGGGGCTGTGTCCCGATGCCTAGGAGACCAAGATGCCAAGGAGAGCGAGGCGGCACCTAGCTTAAACCGCCACATTCTATCTGTTTCCTCCTCTGCCAAGGTCAGGGCAGCCCAAGGCAACGCCACCTCCCCAGACACACAACCCAGCCCTTCCTGGGAAAAGATCAGGACTGAAAGGGAGAGACGGGGTAAGCGGTGGCTGGAAAAGAGTGAAATTTCCTCTGCTCCTAAAATAAGCCCCTGGAGCCCGGAGAGAGGGCGCGTTATCTGGCAGGCGGGCAGCGAGGTGCGGGGGCGGCCGGGCCCGCGGGGCCGGGAGCAGGGGACGGATCAGAAGGGGAAGCGGCAGGCAAAGGTGGGCGGGAGGCCAGGGTGGAGGCTGGGAGCGCCACACTGGTGGCCACAGCCGGGCGCTGGGACCCACGGGGCTCCTCCTTCTCCACCTCCGCCTTCGCCCTCCCCCCCCTCCTCCTCCTGCTGCTC